TTGAAGTGGTTATCAAATATATTTTTTATTTTTTTTTCATAATTTCGTAAACATAAATAAACTACTAAACATATTTTATATTTTCAGTTTTTATCAAATAAAAATAAAAACATTAAAAACGCATTGTGATGGCGACAGTGTTCTAGATGCATGGATGCTTGACACCATTGAAGAAAGATGATGGGAGATGCTTGAGACCATTGAAGAAAGATGACGTGAGGAATGTGTTTTTAATAATTTTCATTTGATTAAAATTTGGAAGATATTTGTTTTCTGCAATGGTAAATATTCATCTATTTGCAATATGTTGTGAGTTTTAATGTTTGAACTAGACTTTTTAAAATAAAGTAAGATCTACAATTACTTGCATCTTTAATGTTCTACCATAAATAAGATTCTTACAACTTGGAATTAGGTTTGCGACAAAAAAGATCACAAATGAGACTTTTGAGTTCTTGCTTATTCTCTCAAATTGAAAGCTCTCTTATTTTTGAGGTGAGGATGACCTCATAAATTCGTTTGCTTAAGGTGGACACTTGATCCAACTGATTTTTCACCAGGGCCAAATAACCCCCGGACAAGTTTGAAAAAGATTTATATAGGTCTTTAAAGATTCAAGTCTCTCTATACGGTTAAATAAATACTTTTATGATTTTTTTGCAAGAAGTCAAATATTCAGAAGTCATAGTTAATTTCTTCTATGAGCTTTGTAAAATTTTGCAGTATAATACAAACCAATATGAGATATTACGATATAGTTGGCTGCAGTGCCGACTTAGAAGATAAGCTACTAAAACCTCCTCCTAGTGCTCCTAAAAAAGAGGGGTCCCACATTTATTTGTAGTCTTTATTAAATAGTTTTATAGGGTTTTTGGATGTGAGTACACTTTTTTAAACTTATTTGAAAGGAAGTGTATTAATAAGTTTTTTACTATATTAAGTTCATTTTTACTAAAAACATCTTGTTATTAGGTATAAAATTTAGCTGACCTTTTATTTATATTACTAGTTTACCATTCCTAAATAATGCATAATTAATTTGCAGTTTATTTTCTAACTAAATATGTAAAGATTTGATTAGATTGTATTATTCATTTGAATTTTAAATATTTATTCTTATTCTCTCTCTTTCTTCCTATTTTTTTTCACCGTTTCTCTCTCCCCCTCTCCCTCTTTCTCTGTTACTCTCTCACTCTGTATACATAACTATTACTCTTTCAATCTCTCCCCTATTTTCTCTCTCCTTTGCATATTCAAGGCACAATTACTCTGTCTCTCTCAGAGTACGAAGTCGGCATTTTTGAATGTCGTTGTATTGATATTCTAAAAGAGATATATTGAATAGATCATAACTGATAGATAATTTATTTTATTCTCAAATATATAAAAATTTAACCTAATCAGATATCAATGCTACACCAACAGTTGTTTCGACATAATCGGATATCAACGTTACACCAAACAATGTTACATCTTTGGTGTTTTTTTTGGTTCATCTATTTTGGTGTATTTTATTGGTATAATAATATGACGATACTAAATGGTATAACTCTTTAATTTATATAAACAACTGAATGATGCATTAGTTATGGTGTCGTCATTTCGTGTCCTCTTTTTGTGTAATTGTTTGGTCTCTCAGAACGCTGTGTAAGCCTATGGTGTACCATAGCACAAGTGTAACTGATTGTTGTAACGTTGATATCCGATTATGTTAGAAGTAATTGTTTGGCGTTACTTTGATATCCGATTATGTCAAATTTTTACATATTTGAAAAACAAATTATCAATCAATTATAATCTTTTCGGTGTATCTTTTTTGGAATATCAAAACAACGACGTTTAAGAATGCCGACTTTGGATTGAGTGAGAGAGAGAGTAATTGTGCCTTGAATATGCAGTGGAGAGAGAAAATATGGGAGAGATAGTGAGAGAGAGGATAGGGGAGAAAGAATGAGAGAGTAACAAAAAGGAGAGAGAGTGAGAGAGTTACGGGGAGAGAGAGAGTAAGAGCTTAAGCCTTGCTTTTTTTTTTTACTTTTATTGAACCCGAGGCCAAATAAGTTTTCTTAATATATTTTTATCTCAAATAAGTTTAAATTTGTGTATCGCCTTCCATTTTTTCTAGTTTTATTTGGTCCAATAAAATTCAAGATTAAAAAATCCCAACCCAAATTCTCTCTCTTCATTAATGATAATGCTTCACTCTTTTCATTAATGAGAACAAATAATTTTACATAATAAATAATTTTATACACCTACACCAGCCAAAAATCCTTACGTCTCTATCTCTCTCATTACTTACTTTACTAAGGAAGACCCCAGGGGCTAGTCTCCCATCTCTCTATCCCTTCATAAATAAATATACACATCTAGATCATCTTACCCCTATGTTGGATTGCAATGAAATTAAACTTCTTTTATCTAATAAATTTATGCTTTAAATAATATAATTTAATTCAATTTCATTGTTCTTCTTATTGATGAAGGTCAGAATTAATAAACCATTGAAATACAAACAAATAATCAAAGTTTATATACAATCTCTATTTATCAGCTATTATTGTTTTATTTTATTTTTAACAATATTCTAAAAAAATTGTAGTGGGTTAATCATATTATCAATTAAAAAATATATATTAATAAAATTTGAATATAAAAACTTTATTATTAATTTTGCATCACAAAAAAGTTAGAACAATAAATTTTAATCATGTATCTTATATATTTATTATTAATTTTAAAGAGCTCCATTTATAATTTTTGTTTAGGACCTCAATTTTATTGAGAACAACATTGGGGGCTAAGGAGGGCCATGGCAATCCTCAACTTTTCAAAAATACCTTATACCTCCTTAATTTTTCTAAAATTCTATATCTTCCCCTAAGTTTTAAAAAACTTTATACATAGGCTAATTGAATTAGTATATTCAAAAACTTTAATGACTTGATATTTAATGACAATATTGGAATATTAATCACATAAATTAATATTTTTCTTATACACTAAGATACATCATATATTTTTGTATCAAACTTATGACTAGAGAGAAAAAGAAAAAAAAAAGAATAAAAGCTACTTTATTTATATACGTGACATATATCATAATAATATATTGTCATAATTAATATTTATGATAGTATCACGTGATAGTAATATTTATGATATTAGTGAATCATGAATGAGAGAAATAGTGAATCATGAAATTATCATAAATTAAATTTACGATGCCAAAATAAGAATCAATTGTTATATTTGCAGATTTTATGACTCAAACTAATTTTTGTGATTCATATCATATAAAAGTTGATTTTATAAGTTCTATAAAAGTAAAAAATTTGACATTAACGATATCTTATTCAATAATCTTACAAAATAAAATTTTTTATTATGCAACTATTTTTGTATAGTCCCTCTCATGATAAAATTCTAGTTCCGTCTGACGAATGAAATATTATTAGAAGGGACATGTCTAATTACCAACTTACTAATGGTTTAATTCACAGTTCACACCCTATTTCATGTCCATTATTTAGTGTATGTCAGACTATAACATAACAAATATGCACAAGTGTGGATAAACAAAATTTTGGGTTAATCTCAAAAGATCACTCGAATTTTAATTTACACTCTTAAAATTTAAAAATGTTAATTTGTATCCTGAAAGACATAAATTCATATCAATGTCCATTTTGCTGTTTAAAAAGTTTGAATTAATTATAAATTATACCCTCAAAGTTTAAATATTTCATATTTATGATCCAAAATGAATTGCATCCACTAATGCTCGTTAAATAGCTCTTAATTGTGTCATGTCGTCTCTAATTTTAAATAGAAAATAGTTATTTAATGAGTATTATATGCAAAAAAATAGGTATTTTAATTATTTTTAAATAGTATTATATGAAATATACGATACAATGCAATTGACTCGACAAAAAAATATTTTTTGTGTTAAAAATAATTTTTTATTGACTCGAACACGAAACAAAAATAATACGACATGACACAAAATGACACGACACAAAAATGTTACTATACAACCAAATTGAGAGATGTTTAATGAATGAAATTCTTTTTGGATCATAAATGTAAAATATTTAAATTTGAAGGTGTAATTTGTAATTAACTCAAACTTTTTTAATGACAAAATAAACTGCATTTAACTCTCAGTACATGTTGAAATAAATTTATATTTTTTAGAGTATAAATTAACATTTTTAAATTTTATGGGTACAAATTAAAATTTAAATTATCTTTAAGATACGATTCGAGATTAGCCCCAAAATATTTTCCATCAGAGTGTTCGTGGCAACCACTTGGGCTTGGGGGCACTTTCCTGTTCGAGTTGGGATGATCTAATGAAAATAACCGACTCACAGGAAATACGAGCGTGAGTTGTTTAGCAAGCCAACACTTTCGATTAAAATAGGGAAAAAAAAAAAAAAAAAGATTGAAATCATAATTGGTAGAAGTTAGTAGGGATGGGCAGGTAATATATTTGCTTTTAATAATAATAATAATAATAATGTTGAAAAAGAAAGCTTCTCACTTCAGCATATTTTTCTCAATCTTGTTGATGATGTTGCAGGTGGAGCTTTACGCAATCCCATTATACCATTACTCCCAAAACCATTATTTAGACTCCGGTTCCACCTCCTTCTCCTTCTCTCTTTCTCTCTCCTCGTCACGTTACAGAGAATTCTCTGTACCTACACACAATTATTGTTCATATATCAACTGTTGTATCTATAGTGTTTTACACAAAATGTGCTATTTGCTTTATTGGGTTTTTATGATTCTCTCAAAATCTTCTTTGGCTAGAAGGAACATGACGAAGAAAATCTGATCCACATCCTGAACTGGGAAAATTTTTTAACCTTTTGTGGTCTTTATTCCTTCCTCTGGTATGTCCATCCAGAATTGGTTGTAGGAATTGGGTTTAATTTCTTTTCCAATTTGTTGTTTTGGTTTCTCTGAGTGTGCGATAAAGGAAACACGACATGGGTAATACAGGAAGTAGTGGTGTAAATGGCCGGCGGAGACACGGTAGCAGTAGGCGGAGCCACCCGCCTCCCCCGTCACTGCAATCACCACAGTCCGAAGTTATGGCGAACCGATATGTTGTCGCTGCGGCGACCCCGTATCCTTCTCAATTCCCTAATCCTCCTCCTTATTATGGCTATTACCCGGCGGTGCCGTTGCCGGCTCCATATGATCACCACCACCGTCATCCGCCGCACATGGACCCAAATTTGGTAGGTGGGCGGTACCCATATGGGCCTCCTATGCACCACTCCGCCCCATATGTGGAGCATCAAAAGGCGGTGACCATAAGGAATGATGTTAACCTCAAGAAGGGAACTTTAAGGGTCGAGCCTGATGGAGAGAACCCTGGAAAGTACCTTGTTGCTTTCACATTTGACGCCACGACAGCTGGATGGTATAGCTTTATGTGAATTATGGTTGATTAGTATTTGAAAATTTAGATTTGTTACTTTATTAAGATTTTATCTATGAATGAGATGCTAGAGTAGTCAGTTTTGGAATTGGATCATGGTAAGTTTTTGATTAATTGGATTTTTGAAAATGGTGGATTTTTTCCCTTTTACTTTTTTGTTTGTTTCGACAAGTGATGCTTTGGGGCTGCAAGTATTTTAATTTCTGTTTTGACAATTTTGTCTTGTAAATTTCTTGTGTCTTATGTGACTCTAAGAATCTTGTGCTACAAATGTGTGATATATAGTTGAGTTATGTAATTAGGGTTTATGAGAAGGAGAGGAAAAGAAGAGACGAGAAGAAATTGTGAGAGTAGAGTAGTGGGTCAGGTTACCCAGCTGCACTGAGCTTTTATATATAACCTCAAAGTACAAAACTACCCTTCGTTTAAAAATAACACATAACATAACACTCTCCCTCAAGTTGATGCGTGAATATCCCTCATACCCAACTTGTAAACAATAGGATGACAAACTTTATTACTAAGACTCTTTGTTAAAACATAAGCTAACTAATTTTCTGATTTCACAAAAGGCATGCAAATCAAACCCTTATTTAACTTTTCTTTGATGAAGTGTCGTTCAATTTCAACATATTTGGTCATGTCATGTTGAATCGAATTATGTGTAATGTTAATAGCAGCCTTGTTGTCACAATAGAGTTCATAGGTCTGTCATCATGAATTCCCACATGAATTCCCACAGTAGTGTTTAGAGCCACATAAGCTCACATACTCGGAGACATTGTTCTATATTCAGCTTCGGTACTAGATCTAGCCATTACTGTCTACTTCTCGCTTTGCCATGTGACAAGATTTCCTCCAATCAAGGTGCAATAAACCTAAAGTAGATCTTCTATTATCCACTGAGTCTGCATTACTAAATGCTTCCAGCTTCAAGTGGTCGTTATTAGAGAATATAATCTATTTTCTTGGAGCTGACTTCAGATACTTCAATATGTGATACATAAATTGAGGGGTTCAAGGATCATGCATAAATTGATTAACTACAACCACTACATAAGTGATGACTAGTTGAGTATGTGAGAGATATATTAATTTTTCCAACAGTCTCTGGTATATCTTTTTCTCTATTACCTCATCAATACCAACACTCAGTTGATAGTTGACTTTGAGAGGAGAATCTGTAGATTTGCATCCCAACATCCATGTCTCCTCAAGAAGGTCAAGAACATACTTCCTCCAAGAAATAAAGATATATTTGTCTGATTTGGCAACCCAATTTCAATGAAATACCTCAGTGGATCCAAGTCTTTAATTTCGAACTCCTTAGCCAACTGAGCTTTCAACTTGATAATTTCATGCTCATCATTTTTAGTTATCACTATGTCGTCCATATATAAAATAAGAACTGCAATCTTGTCATTAACTCGCCTAACAAACAAGGTATGATCCACCTGACTTTATTTGTATCCAAATTTTAGCATAACTTTGAGAAACCTTTTAAACCAAGCTTTGGGAGATTGCTTTAGCCTATAAAGAGATTTCTTTATTTTACACACTTTCCCTTTAGTCATTGGAGATGAAAAACCTGGAGGAATCTCCATATATACTTTCTCCTCTAAATCTCTGTGAAGAAAGACATTCTTCACATCTAACTGTTGTAAACTCCATTCCAAATATGTTACACAAGAGATAAAAGCACATATGGAGTTCATCTTTGCCACAAAAGTAAAAGTGTCATGATAATCAATACCATATGTCTGAGTAAATCTCTTAGCAACTAACCTAACTTTGTACCTCTTAATAGTCTCATCAACTTATTGTTTGACGATAAACACTCATCTGCACCATGTTGCCCTTACTCCAGGAGGAACAGGAACCAACTCCCTTGTTTCATTTTTTTTTTAAGGCTTTCATTTCTTTTACCATAGCTTCTCTCCACTTAGAATCAATGAAAGCTCTTTCCAACCCCAAGGAATGGACATAGAAAACAAGGAGGAAACAAAATTATAATAGGATGAAGACAGAGAATCATTAGAGTCAAAACTAGAGATAAGATGTTGAGTACAAGCTCGAACACCCTTTTTGACTGTAATAGGAAGATCAAAGTTATCAACAACTTGATTATCAATAACATGAGTAACATTTGGAGATTCATTTCCTACTAAAACAATGGAGGATGGAATTGGAGATGAGAAATCCGATTGATGTGGCGGCACATGAGTAATTTGTACTTTTTGACGTCAAAAATAAGTCTTTAGATTATACTTGTGAAGGTAAATACCATGTAGATCATTACCGTCGCCTTTTTCCTCCACAAGTTGTTTTTCCTAACTAAAGTTCATCTAAGTCAGCAATTGAAGAAGAAGCTCTTGACAAAATATCTCTTCCCTTATAGTGATATTCTCTCCGTAAAAAGATGTCTAGGAGAAGAAGGACTCAAATTTACGAAAGGTATTATCCATTCTAACATACATTTTCTGTGACTATGGATGATAACATTTATATCCCTGTGGCGTGACAAAGTAACCAACAAAAATGCATCGTAGAGTCCTGTGATCAAGTTTTCCCCTAAAGGATCTGTGATCATGTACAAAACAAATAAACACATCCAAAAAATTTAGGAGAAATGGAAGAAATAGAAAAAAAACTCAAAGGACACTCAAGGGTAGACGATTAATTAGATAAGCAACAGTAAGAACTGCATTCCCCCTTAAAGATGAAAGAACATTATAATGAACATCAATGAGTGAGCAACCTCAAGAAGATGACGATTTTTATACTCGGCAATATCATTTTGCTCAAGGGTATTCACACAAGTGATTTGATACAGGATATCATTTTCATTGAGATAAACACAAAATTTTTCATCAATATATTCAGTTTTATTATCATTTCGAAGAATTTTGACTTTGGCATCAAACTGAGTACTCATTATTTTATAGAAAGATCTAAAGTATGAGAAAAATTCACATTTACTACGTAGTGGGTTAAACCAAGTAAGACGAGAATAATAATTAATGAAGGTAACAGACCAACGATAACTAGAAGTAGACACAATATGAGAAGGGCTTCACACATTTAAATGAATAATGTCACAAGGTGTATTACTTCTATGATTAGTACTAGGATAAGATTGACAAATTCACAAGCATTACAAACAAAAAATTGTCTACTACACTACTTCAGTAGATTAGGAAAAAAAACATCAAATGATGGATGCCCCAAACATCTATGTGACTGGTGTAAGAGCTGAAAGACTGAAACACCATCTCCCTAGACCTAGAGAGCTTGACAGATAGCCTGAGAAAAGTTTCAGCATTCAAGAGGTACAGACCACCATGTACTCTATCACTATTAGTCGTTTTCCCTATCTTCAATTCCTAAAAGATACAATGAGTAGGAAAAAAAGTCATTGAACAATTTAAGGATTTGATAATATTGCTAACGGACAATAAATTTGTAGAAAAATTGGGGACATGAAGAATAGATGAAAGGGTTAAGGTTGAAGAATAATTAATTGAACTTTTTTCCATAAATAGGGGGTAAAGTTCCATCTGCTGCCACTCTTACCTTATCCCTACCTGAACATGTAGAATATGAAGAGAAAAGACTAGAAGAATTTGTCACGTGGTTCGTGGCTCCAGAGTCGATTATCCAAAAAGTGTATGATGATGAAACACTAAATGCGATGTACCTATTTGAGCAAAGTTGGAAGAAGAAGAGGAAGCATGATTAGAGAAAACATCAAGCTGAGCCATTAAACATCTAAGAGTTTGAATATCATCCAATGAAAATAACGTTGAAGCACTATCTATGTCCAAGGTACTAGAAAAATACCAAAAAAAATGACGAAATCACTGACAAACAAAATTGCACACAGCACCAAGATTCACACCACAATAGCAAGAGACCTCAAACTAAAGGCTACAAAATGACCTGGGGTGAAGTAGCCTCAACTAGAAGCTAAAAACCCAGATCTGGATCCAAACAGCGGTGAAGAACCATGTAGCCGACCCTTAGATCTGCCCAATAATCAATCCTGTGCAACACCCAAATAACTCCAACATTAGCAGAAGATAGGCCAAACACTACAACCCAATAGCCAAACATGGATAAAGCATTACCAGAGGGCAAAACGTAGCAAGCCAGAACAAAATCTAAAGCCAGACTGAAGTAAAAAATGGAATAGTAGCCCGAATAGTAACAGATTCTGAAAATGCCAGCCAAATCTGAAAAAAATGACCAAAAACCCTTCAAATCTGCTCTAATCATAGCCAATCTTCATGGATAATGTGGATCTACAATTTTTGCACCTCATATAACAGATTTGAAGCCAAAAAAACAGGTTGAATGCCTAGAAATTGAGTCATTGCCTGACAACCAAAAAAAATCTAGAAAAAGCTTCAAAAAAATAGAAAACCTCACCAGATGCCTTCAAAAAATCCAAGAAAACGACCAAAAATAGTAGGACAAAATTTCGAGTCTCGCATGATAATTTCAAAAAAATTGACATAGGTGAGTCAGTGACGTCAACTGTCAGTCTGACGTCAGCCACCCTATTTCATGTCTGATAAATTGCGACGCTTTCTGATAACTCCATAGCTTTAGATTTGGATCAATGCTTTAATACCAAGTTAAATTATGATATAATTAGGATTTGTGAGATGGGGAAGAGAAGAAGAGAATAGAAGAAATTGTAGGAATGGAGTGGTGTGTTAGGTTACATAGCTACACCCAGCTATTATATATAATCGCAAAGTACAAAACTACCCTTGCTCTAGAAATAACATATGACATAACATATATGTATGGCTAACCCAGTAGTGAATGCTTTCATGAGGGGTTTGGAGGTTGGGGCAGGCTACGATGATACAAATGACCTTTTTTCTAAAGAGTTTTTGAGCTACACTCATGTGCAGAGATCATTGGACGCTATGTTGGAACTAAAATAACAAAGTTGAACCTGATATTTGGTTCCTTATTTTGATAGGTGTTTACCGGCATTGCACAGTTTCTTGAGTTCTTGCATTTGCTTATTTCATCACATATCCCTATTTAGTGGCTGGTGTATGCAGTAGTTGGAATGGCCAATTTTGTCTTGTAGAGGGACAAATTGTGCTATAGGAATGAATGTCAGTTAAAGTGAGACTGCTATAGGGAAAAAGTATGAACTTCTCTCCATTTGTATTTGCATTTTACAGGATATTTGAGGTTTTCAAATACTGGAAATTTAATTTGTTTTACATCTCACTCTTGTTGAGATTGAATTGTAGGATTTATAAAACGAATTATTTAATATTTTTCTGCTGGTTTTAGGAATCCTTTTGACATATATTGCTGTTTGTGAGCTTATTAGCTTACATTATTCTTTTATCCTTTTATTTTGTTTGTCATATTTGCGCTTCAAGCATCATCACTATTTTTTTCCAGAAGACATAAAGCTTTAGCTTGATTCTGTTTATGTTACTCATTTTTATTATGTATTCTTTGAAAAAGGGATGATGTTCTGTTTAGAGTTTCATATTATTTACTCTCCAAACAGCATCACCATTATTTTCTTTGCAAAAGAGGGTGAAAGCTGTCACCTCATGCCAATGAAGGAAAGCTTGCTTCCACCAGTGACTGTTCATTTCCAGCAAGGTTTGGGCCAGAAGTTTAGACAACCCTCTGGAACCGGGATAAACTTTTCACTGTTTGAAAAGGAATTATTGAAAGTGGGTGACATGGACGTGTATCCTCTGGCAGTGAAGGCAGAGGCATCCCCGGATAATCAAAATGGATCAGGAGAGGGAAACTCAAAGTCTGCAGCCTCAAACGCCCAGATAACTCAGGCAGTGTTTGGAAAGGATAAAGGTGAATACCGGGTGAGAGTGGTGAAGCAGATCTTATGGGTGAATGGTAAAAGGTATGAGCTGCAAGAGATTTATGGGATTGGGAACTCCATTGATGGTGACTTTGACGGGAGTGATCCGGGAAAAGAATGTGTTATCTGCCTATCAGAACCACGGGACACAACTGTCCTTCCTTGTCGGCACATGGTATCTCTCTCCCTCTCCAACTGATTATATTTGGAATGTGAGGGGAATCTTCCAGTACGCCTTTATGTTTTTGATCTCATCACAAAGTTATCCCGGTTGAATTATTGCCAGTGGATTGTCATGCACTCTATGGGGGTGGGAGTGGGGGTGTGTGGGGGGAGGATGCTGCCTTCGTTAGTTAAACTGTGGACCATGTTATTCATTTTACATTTTTTTTACCTGAATGCTGCCAACTTTCTCCTCTTATATGTTTTCTACTGGTTGGCAGTTGTAACAGTCTTAGGGAAAGGGTTTTAGAGTCACAGTGTGTAATGTTAATTCCAACACACTATGTTTTGTAGTGATCTTTCAGTTGGTAATATTAGTGTTTTTTGCTAAGGTTGTATTGATCAAGCTGTCTGCAAGACAATTGCTTGTATCTACCCTATTTCCAATCTCAGCGAGCTAATATTGTTATACTTGATCTGAATAGATCTGTCAGTAGCTTGTTGATAACAGAATTTTGCTTGGTTTCTTTTCTTGGTGCAGTGTATGTGCAGTGGGTGTGCAAAAGTTTTGAGGTTCCAAACCGACCGGTGCCCGATTTGTAGGCAGCCAGTGGAGAGGCTTCTGGAGATCAAGATCAGTAATGGAACTGACAATTGAGGAGAAGATTCATTGCTGCAAATCACTGTTGTCTAAAGTTCTTATTTTCATTCTTTCCTTTTCTCCTTGCTCCTCCCGCAACCCCAAAACTCCTTTTCTCCCCGAAACATTTCGTAGTTTTCAAAAATCAGGCAGGAGTATGCAGTATGCCTTGGATATAATGTTATCTTAGTCCATTGCACCCGAAAGCTGTAAGCCAATGCCTTTCTATTGTCGTGCCAAGTTTGCCATCTCTTCTTCAAACAATGATTATTTGGTATATGATATATTGTATGTTTGGATTGCTTCAGCATGACTCTTTTTTTTTTTTTTTTTTTCCTTTTTTCCTTTTTTCCCTGGCTGTCTTTTGTTTGACCAGTATGCAATATGATCTGAAGGTATGCAAGGGCTTGGTACATGCTGTTAAATTTTAAGAGTTGCAAGCATTATCATAAAGATGCAGTTCATGATAGTTTGGAGAAGCATTGCAATTTGTCATTAGAAATAGATATTTAAATTTGATGGATGCAACTTGCTAGAAACCATAGTACTTGAAATTTGAAGTGTCACGAATTTAGCCCCTCACAGAGATACTTTCTGTCAGCTTCCAGGCACGAATTCTATTTCTTGCCACTTTATTCTGGGTTAGGATCCATCAAGTCCAATTGTTTTCTTGCTGGATATGGACAGCGAAGATCGGTGATTATCTTCTCAATCATACTCAGGTAAGTGCATGACAAGCCAAAATTCAGCATCAGTCTGAAGAAATCTGGCCAATTACACATTTTTGAGGCACTAGTTTGTTCATTTGTATCGTTCTGTGGCCCTATCATTTCTTTGCATTGGTCTCTGACCATGTTCATTGCAGCTCAAAGCGAGAAGTCGCAGTGCAGGAGCCTTTTAATAAGGAAAACGCGAGCTTCACGACTCACTTGGAACTTGGAAGCGCTTTTCAAGTGCTTGAGATTACTTGGCTTTAGATGTTTTATTTCAGTTGTCTCACTATCACCCTCCTTCTTATCTTCCTCACAAATTAAGCCTTCGCTAATAATTTTGATGTTCAATGGTAAGGCAGAAAATGAGCTATAGAATAAAGGATTTTATACCTTGATCGAAGGAAGAAAAACTTACTCTTTTTTTTGGGCCAAGCACTATTATAAAGAGGGTATTTGTGACTTTAAGATTTAGGAAAAATTTCATCCACACCCTCTATAGTTAGGTCTAAATTTAATGGCATCCTCTCTCGATTCTAAAATTTCACTATACACCCATCTAATTTATATTTTCAAATCAATGATACCCCATAAACGATAACTTTTGTCTCTATCGGTGAATAAAGTAATGATTTGACTAAATCTTTTGTAAAAATATCAAAATTATCCTTTATATATAAATAGACTACACTGTCCACAATGCTTTCCCCATTGTATATACCCTAGTCGGTCAACAAGAGTAATTCTATTATTAGATTATTCTAATGAATTTTATCATTTTAAAGCATTACATGATAACTTTGTTATAATATTAGTCATCATGTTATCACTCATTTAATTACATAATCGAATTTTTATAATTTTATAGTTAAAAACAATTTTTCTATAAAAAAAATTACAATAAATAAAGTCAATGTCAAAATCTCATTCATTTCTAACTCCTCTGCTATTGTCGGCTCTTTACAATGGCACCCTATCACTCTTCACATATTACTCTTCATATATAAAATTTAAATATTATTTGATAAAATTTAAATATTAATTTAATTTTGATTTAATAAAATTAAATATTAATTTAGTTTTGATTTGATTTGATAAAATTTAATTTTAATTGAATAAATTTAAATATTACTTTAATAAAATTGAATGTTCAGATTAACATAATTTGATAAGGTTAAATGTTAAATTAATGAAATTAAATATATTAAATTTTAATTTAATAAAATTGAATGTCAATTTAGTGTTGATTTGATGAAACTAAATAATAATTTAATGTTAAATTAAAGAAATATTAAATTAATATAACTAAATGCTAATTTGATAAAATTAAATAACAATTTTTGTGTTGATTTGATGAGATAGAATGCTAATTTAGTTTAAATTAACTAAAAGACATTAATTTGATAAAATTAAATATAAAATTGATGAACCTAAAGGCTAATACAATATAACTAAAAGGGAGTATATTAAAATTTTAGAATTGAGAAGAGGTGTTAAAGTTATGTTTATTTATAAAATGTGTTAAAGTTAGTTCTATTTATAAGGACCGTAGATAAAATTTACCCTATAAAATACTCAAAGGATATTTATGTAAATCAACAATCACCGTTAACGCTATAACCTGACAAGCACTGACAAAGGGTGACAATAAAGTTTCAGAATCGAGAATAAATGTCTTTCAATTTACATCTAATTATAGGAAGCGTGAATGAAATTTTTCCTAAAATTTAATTTTGGAGACCGTGGCCATTAGGGGTGTTACTTTTAAGTACATGTTTTCAGATTATGAAACTTTCACTTCATGCCTTCAAAATTAAGGTGGTTATACTTTACTTTTTTCTTTTTTTATTTTGCTATGAGTAATGCTATACTTCAGAGTTACTTTGATAACCTAATTCATTACAGCTCTTAAATCAGTTGTTATTTCTAATGTTAAATTAGATCCAATTTTCATCCAAAAGTTGTGATGAATTAGGTCCCCAAATTACCTCAAACTAATTTTTTTTTCTTCTCCTAAATGTGCTTGTGCATCTGCTTGTATGCAAATTTAACTGCTGTAAAAGGGGAGGAGGAGAGAAGCTGAATCCACCCCTTAAATTAAAATGCAAAATTTACTCTTTTTATTTCCATGTAACACATTATGCCATTTCATTTTACCAACAGTTTTACAAAACGAATGAAGATGGTTAGATCAGTAAATTCTATTAAAAAAAAAATTTAATGCGACCTACTAATGCAACAATCCCATTGATTTAGTAAGAAAATTTTGGTAAATATTTTGAGGAGTGTAGCCTGATGCAGCAGCACAGGACCGTTGCCCACTTACAGACACCAGAAGTTACACTGTACTGCTCCTAACAATCCTGTAAATGGCATGTAGCTAAGGCAGAAAGTTTAGAATCAGACCACTTGAGAATTTAGGTAGTTCAGTATATATAAATTAAATGTCAAATTCAAACTATGCAATTCCAGCAGTCAAAACTGGTTAGACCAAAAAAAAAGACTCTACAGTAATAAATTTCGAAAGATGCAGCTTCTATTATTCTTGTCAGTTATTCAATATTCTACCTACAGCCATTTCATACTTACAAAAGTGAGCAGGTACTCCCTTTTCAATCTCATGTGGCATTCTCATTCCTGGCTATACAATGGACATTTTGGATGAATGTCCCTGCAAACGGATTAAATTTACCTTCAGTCAGATACAAGCGGATCAAGACGGTGAAAACAAATGATGAATTTGCTAAACCATTAAGTGCAAATACATCCCCACAAAAAAAGAGAGCTTGGTTTCACCTGACATTTGACCACAATCTAGGTCATTTGCTTGTAACCAGTGCTGCCAGCTTTTCCGGGAAATAATGGCTTTTCCTTCAAACTTGTGCTCAGCAGAGAACCAGAGTTGCTGGATTGGCTTTCTGCAGACCCTGGTCTGATCCAGATTTTTATGTGCCCCTCTCTGCTGACGGTAAGGACAGATTCCTGAGTAAAATTCAAACCAGATAGAGGTTCGGTGTGAACGCGATGAATAACCACTGGGGAGAGCTTTGGAACATCACGCATGCTTGGAGCGGGTTGCAGGGTACCCACTGGGCAAGTGCTGTCCCAATGGGATGATTGACTTGCAGTACTGAAAGTGGGGGACCCTCCAGGAGGCCGCCGCATTGGCACAACAATCTCATCCGCTTCCAGGTCCCACAATAGCAATTGTGTGTCCTGCAAAATAACACTAGGTTGAAGATGATACATGAAGATATTGATTCAGCCAAATTGCACTATGAATGAGTAAGTGGTACAGATCAGCTGTTGGCGAGCATCCACGGACAGTACAAAACTGGAATGTCAAGTGTCATGTTTAGATTTTAAGGACAGACATCCATGTCAAATGCAATTACAACTTAGGGTTGTATATGCCCCCTTATTTGCTTTAATCAAGACAATATATAACATGTCCTGATGTCCAAGCTTAACTGAAAGGCCATTGGGGTTGGGCGCCTGAGGTGATTAATAACCAAGTAGTTTGCTATCACTGACCAGAATTAGGGGGTCTCAGCTTGATAGACAAAAAACTAGGCATGTCAAAATCTGACATGACACGATTAACCAACACGAATCGACACGAATTAAATGAGTTTAGGTGAGACCTTCACGGATTCGAGTGGTAAACGGATTAACCCGCTAAACACGTTTAATAAACGGGTCGTGTTCGGATGAGACCTATCAACCCGTTTATCACCCATATACCCATTTAAAAAAATTAATAATTATTTTAAAAAATTTAGTCAGAATTAAAATATTATATACAAAAATATGATAAATGAGTAAAGAAAAATCTTAATTCAAAAAAACAGTGAAAAGACATTTGAAACTTGACAGAAACCACCCCTCCCCCCTTCTCTCTATTTGTCTAGCATTTCTTGTTTCTTTTTGGCTTCTGCAGATGAGATGGAGCTTGGTTTGAGCTTGGGAGATTCATCAAAACCATTTGAGTTCTTGCCAAAGAATCGAGAGCTTGGCAAAGGTGATGCAATAGAGATTGAGAAATTGAGGAAATTCGCGAGGTGTATTGAGTTATTGTTTCAGGTGGTGGATGATATTCTTGATGTTACTATGAAAGCTTTTGGCTTGAATCCCATATCAACAAATTTAAATAAATGAGACCTCTTATGCCTATAAAAGGCTGTAGCCCCTTTCTTTAGTCAATCAACCTTCTCATTTGCTTTTGCATGTGGCAGCCAACTGAAAATTTTTTAATTAAGAGAGTACAGTTGTTGTAAGTAGTTAATGAAGTTTAAAATTTTAATAGAATAATTTTTTGATGTGGGTTAAAATTTTAATAAAATTAAACAAGTTAAACGAATCGTATCGTATTCCTCGTTTATTAGACGAGTCGTGTTCGTGTTGAAGTCTTTCACCCGTTTATTAAACGTATCGTGTATGGATTTATATGTTTTTCACCCGTCACCCGTTTAACCCGACACATTTGACACCCCTAGACAAAACTGTTATTCATCTCGAGTATTTAACAGAGAAGAAAATGTGCAAGTCTCTTGATTATTGACAATGAGAGGCGGATTTCCTTTTTTATTTTGGCCATATTTCGTAATGTGATAACAGTTTTCAATTTTTAACAATACAACAGGTGAAACTACCACAAGAAAGAAGCTAAAGACCATCCAATGCGAATTACGACACTTAAGAATGTCCTCATTTCAAATTCTATCTTTTTTTTTTATATGAACACACACAGGATACATGCATATTTTGAACATATTTTACCAAATATATTGCAGTCGCAAGAGCCAAAAATTTTATTCTGTCATAACACACATTTAACTTAACCTCCTCTTTTTACTTCCAATGACCACAATACACAACACTTTCAGCCTGCTTAATATTCTCGACCACAAGACATGTTACAAAAATCTTCATTTATTTTGAGAGGTATATTCCTTGAGAGGTATTAGTCAATCATAGTTTAAATAAAGCCCAGACATCTCTCTCCAATAATTATCCTCCTCGAATCTCACTTCACAAAATTACATTTTACATCGTCTTGACTCTTGCCAGTCTATAATATCTTTAATTGACATACATCAAATAGAATCAATTTTTTTTGTTTGAACCCTGCACTAGTCTAGTCGGTGCTTATTTTATGTGTCAGTTAATATCCAACCAGCCACCCAAGGAGGTCACCTTAGTCACCTCCTGTTTATTCTCTCAACCTTCCATGCCCAACAACTTGTCCCAAAACTGTCCCTTTTTAAGAGGAGGAAAATTATTCTAGCATGATTATCACGATACTCTTTCAAACAGATGCATATCATACTTATATGGCATACTATCAAGAAAAAACTGTCACATACAAATGCAGAGTTCTAGATGTCTGTAGTACATGACTTACTAGGCTATCAAACTCACAATTCGGAGACTGTACAATGCCATGATCCTATACAAGCAAAAACGATCCGGATAGTGAAAAAATTGCTTTTTCGGTAGCGATCAGAATTGTGTAGTATTGTACATTTTTTTGTTCCATTATATTGCTTGCTTCATCATGGTACTTGGAACTATCCTTTAAACAGAATTGACTACTGTCGAACATTTATCAAAATGCTGGTTCTGTTGTTATATTGAACTGGTTTAAAGTGGGATGCTACAAGAAAAAAACAAATGTGAATGCAAGGATTCAAACTTTGATCTTCTCACGCACCTCCTTAGGGCTCTTACCTTTTTAGCTACATTCTTATCAACTTGCAGACATGTAGGTTTGCCATAATATTTCTCTATTTTGCATACTGAGTTAGTTTCATATATATTTTTAAGATTCTATATTTTTGTTCGTATTTTTAGTCCCATATTGCCAGTTTGTAAGATCTTATTATTCTTAATTTGATCCTACGATCCCGATTCTTTGCCTCACCAGCTGATCCAAGTTATGGATCTTGATTTTAACAAATTTGGCTACTTATAAGGTAGCCAGCCATTATGAACTCAATTGAAGCTAACGCAAGCAACCAGACACTCAACAATTGTTCACATTTAAAAGGAAGAAAAGACCCGATCCTAGCATGCATGATGGATGAGTTTACCTTGATTAAGCTGAAGTTAAGCTACGATCCGAACCAACAACACTTTAACATACCTGACCAACCGAACCAAACCGGTACACAATACTTTCCCCTGTGCCATCTGAAGTTGGTGCCGACCAATACGAATCAAACGCAACTCCACTGACCTGCCACCCTCCAGTAAAATAAGCAATCGACTCCTGGTCGCAGACAAAAAACTCAATAGTTTATACCCGCATACTACAGGAACTTACCCATGAGTTGTGTCCCTCACCCCATGCTACAACCTTTCGATCTTCCATACTCCAAACTTGAACTAGATCATCTTCACCTCCAGTCAAAATGTACTTTCCATCCATGCTGCCATAGCTTTCATTGTCAGTTATTCTATTCTCTAGAGACATGTCAATAACCACAAATACATAAAACAAGAAAAGAGTATCATTCTATAAAAAGACGAGACATCAAGCAAATTTCTAAGGCCTGATGAAGACAATCCTCTCTTAGGACCAGAAAGCAAATCAAGCTTCTCACCTCCAAGCACAACATAATAGAGCACCATAATAGCCTTTTCCACCACATACAAGTTGTTCATTATTGTAGTTGAATACTCGCAAATAACCTACATTCAATATCTGACCTCAGTCCTCCAAAAGGAACAGAATATACGAAGGAAAAATAAACAGAGCATCTCTAAGATAAACAATACCATCCCTTCCAACGGTTGCAATATAGGCTCCATCAGTTGAGAAAGCAATGGTATTAATTGAACCTTGGCAAATATGCCATCTAGCAACTGGATTCTGCACAAAACCACAGGAAGTCAACTTTGAGAAACTGGAAGCACTGCATGGATATTACGTCTCTAGACAGTCACCCAAATTTCCCTTGAAGTTGCATATACTCCCATCAATATTATCATGCTAAGTTCATCCAAACAATCTAAAAAAGATTGGGAATTTTAAATCAAGTATGTCACAATGTCAAAGCACACTCAGAACTAGAAAGAAAAACTAAACCGAATATTAAAAAAATAATGACCTTCCAACTTCCTTCCCTTGTCCACCAGGAAAAAAATGACTTCACTCTACATGATGCAATGGGCAAAAAACACAGGTAAAACATGCACCAACATGGTGAGCCAGTCAACCACTGAACTAACATTAAGAGAGAGAGCAAAGTAAGCTGAATATGCCTTGAACTATTTGGAACTAACTGATAAGATGTCAAAATGATTCATACTACACGAGAGAGTAATGCAGCAGTTTTATAGACAACAAAGAATAACTAAAAAAAATAAACCATCAGATTTTCTAGCACACTTTGGAACAATTACTTAGAATACTTCATGTTGATGTCTCTTTTGCTCATCAGTTCTAACTGTTTTAAGGATATCATGGGTCTGCCCACCTCTAGGCTGTGAACTATTTAATGTTCATTTCTATAATAAAAGAAAAAGGAAAGGTCACTTATCAATGCATACTTTTTACTGCCAAATACGATAATAGTTTTACTCTTGATTTTTCTAACTGCCTTGCTCTCCCACTGTTCCAGCTTGCTCCAAAATTTCTTATATAAAGTTCTAACACTAGTTGAAATTAAAGAAACAAAACATTACCTTCTGAAAAAAGAAAATGACCAAAGCATTACTAAGCATCAAACCATATGACATGGACACTCCCCAACACAACTTGTAAACCATAGATGAATTGTACAGTACCTTACTGTAACGTGCATGTGCAACAGAAAATTGAGTTTGATCCTTGATAACAGGGAATGAAGGATCAGCGGAACCATCTTTGCTCTATAAAACAATAGCAAGAATAAGAATAAATGGTGATCACTTCTCAAACAAGTATGAGATATCAATGTTATAGGCAGACATTGAAAAGTGTTGCTGCTAGCATTAATGACTTGCCTTTTCATATATGTACAAATTTCCATCTGCATGAGCCACCACAAAAGCGCCATCACCATTAGGCACCCATGCAATACCAGTACAACGACTGTAGAAAGCAAAAGGATTACTTAATCAGACAAGACCAAAGGTACATAAATCTCGATGTATCTCACACCAAACAAGGGCCATGATTAATACATTAGAACAAAAGACGTCAGTGTATCTTCTATAATGTCCAGAACAAAGATTTCAAAGGTATCACATTGAAGTAGAAAGCTAGTACCTACTATTGAAAAAAGGGGAGGGTGGAAGATAAATCAAATGATAGACTAATATGAGAGTAAATTTCTATCACTGTGACCAATACAGTCAAATGTTTGCTAGGATTAATAGTAAACTACAGTGCATCCAATTTAGCTAATGCTAGCGGCAGGTCCAGGATACACACTAAGAGATTTCTCCGCAAATTCAGAAACCATTCCATCAAGTAAATGCTTTTGGAATTATATCCATCTAAAGGTGAGATGTATAATCTTTAGCCATTTTCGACCAACAACAAATAATTCTTGAAACAGTTTAATTTGGGCCAAAAAAACCATTGATCCTTATACCAATAGAAAAGTCCTCCTTGTCCAGTACTTAAGCATTGCTTCATTTCTCTTCTATCATAACATTAGCCTTTGCAACAGTCTATAGCACATGAATTGAAAATTTACTAAGCTTTTCTATGCTGACCCACAGCTACAAATGCAGATAAATTGATCAAAAATGTGTCTTCAATAGCCATACCATACAACACTACCGTGTATGACTAAACAAGGCATGTATAGGGGAAAACTTGTAAGGATTGAGTTAAGGTCTCGCCTATTATTAACACAACCATCTTTGTTATAATGCTGTGCTCCAACAAGCTTCTTTCCCACATCTTGCAATTGTTGTCTTAGTGACACTGAATAAACTACAAAAGATGCAAACAGAAGTATTATTCGCAAATACTGAAAACTGTCCATAAAAGTAACTTTCAAATGGGAGAAACAATTACCATCTCCAGAATTCAAACCAATGAGCAAATCATGCCCATCCTTGGCATCTGGATCAAACGCATGGCAAGCAGGATTTGAATTACTGAAATGTATGGACTTGATAGGATCCTAAGTAGGAGACCAAAACTCTTAAAACCCAAAAAGCATTAAAGTAATGTAATACCAATAATTCCAAACGTATTTTTGTGTGTGTACATATATTTAAATTTATATTAGAGAACATAAGCACCCAATTACCTTGTCTTGAGAATTCAAATCACTGATTAAAATCACATCTCCAGCATTGAATATCAAGTAAGTCCCCTTCCCGTCAAAATTTGAATTACCCAACAGACCATTTGAACTAGAAGCCCCCAACGATCCAACTCTATTAGTCCCACTAACTGATTTACTCCCACCATTCCCTCCAACAAAACCAAGCGCCCTACTTCCATTCCCACCGCCTAATAATCTTGCAGCAGCTGATCTAACACCACTGCTAACACCCAGACTTGAGGATGATGGCTGTGCAGTCTGGGTTGGCTTATCCTTCAGATGAGCTAGGGTCACCTGACAATCAAAGCGATTATATAATTGGGTTGTTTCAAAAACTGACTTGGAAATCAGACTTTGGGAGAAAAAAGAAGAAAACCAAAAGCATTCAAATTAACAATAATAATAATAATAATAATAAAAAAAAAAATCGCCGGTAAACCGATTCCCAAAGAATAAGTTGATTTCGAATACTGATTTGTAGGGTGAACTCAAAAACTTACAACTTTCTGATTGAAACGTAATCTCAAAAAATCAAAACTTTCTGACAATAGATTAACAGAAAATCCCCCTAAATTAACTACAACATGCTAAAACAATCTAAACCAACCCAAAACATCGATTCATACAAATTGGCTAAGATGACAAAACGATTTTCAACTATGGTTTGATCACAAAAAGTACTTTACACAATGGTTATACAGAAAAAAAAAAAACCCTAAAAATTAAAGTGAGTGACAATACTTGAGTGACAGTCTTGCCATGGGCGAAGTGAAGGAGACCAGCAGGGTAAGTCTTCTCATACTGGAGCTTGTAACGGCCTTCCGGGGTCTTGAAATAGGTCTTCAGACCAGGCGATTGTGCGCCGTTGGTCGATGTTACCGACGAGGACATCATACTATTACTACTGCTCGTTGTATTGATCATTGTCACCAAATCAAACTGATAGCTCCACCAATAAATAAATGAATAAATATGAAAAAAAATATGTGATTTAAAAGAACAAGAAGATCATGATATTGCAATATTGCAATTGGGTCTTCTCTATGGTCCGTTTGTTTGGGTCTGTGTTTCGTCTTCTTTCTTCTTCAACGGGTACCTGTGCCAGTAAGATCAAGGGTTTGGGGGGTGGTTTGGGTTTGAGTTATGGGACTGTTGAGAGAGAGAAGAACAGGTGGGTTTTTTCGACGGGGACGATTGACTTTGTGCTTTTGCTCGATGGCACGGACGGCTGGGACAACTCAGTCTTCTCTTTCTCTCTGTTCTCTCCCTCTCTCTCTTACGACGTTGGGATTCACTCTTGAAAAACAGTTCTGTTTACTTTGGCAAGGGACAAAATCTTCGTTGACAACATCACATTAATTTTTAGTGTATATTGTAATTTTCAGTATAAGCCTAAACATGAGTTTAAATTACGTTAATAGTTATTTAATTTAATAACTAGAGAGAATTATACTCGGATCACCTAAAACATGTCACTTAATCACCAAAAGTTCTTGATATTTAAAATATTACATACAGATTCTTTGAAGTTTGTACATGCTTAAAACCATGTCGTCAATGTTCATTAATAAATCCGTTAGTAAATTACACCTTGACTTATTGAAGTAAATTACACCTTGACTTATTGAAGTTTATAAACGTATAACACTTAGATCTCTTAAATTTAAAATGTTATATTTAGATCAAAGATACTCCAATCAAAAATAAAATATCAAATATTTTAAATTTTATAATCAAAATTCATGTTATATTTGTATCATTTACTGAAATAAAATTAGAAAAAAATTATTTTTTTCTTAAAAAATCATAATTAGTACAATTATATTATCTATTAGAATAAAACTAAAAAAACAAACAATGAGTCTAAATCATTCATAATAGAACATAAATTTTACAAATAAGATTCATATTCTATTGTGTCATATATTGAAATAAAATCAAAAATAAAAATATATTTTTTTCTTAAAAGTTATAATTAATATACAATTATACTATCTATTAGAATAAGACTAAAAAATCAAATAAGGGGTCAAACTGTAATTGACACCATATTTTCTAACTTTAATTGAGGTAATTTTGTAGTTTAATTTGATCGTTTAAACTGTCAAATTAAATTTTAATAAATAGTATAATTGTATACTAATTATAATTTTTTAATAAAAAATTAAATTTTGATTTTTGATTTTATTTTTATAAATGTCATAATAGAACATAAATTTTGATTGTAAAATTTAAAATATTTGATAATTTATATTTGATTAGAGTATTTTTGGTTTATGTATAACATTTTAAACTTGAGAAATCTATGTATTATACGCTTACAAACTTTAGAGAAGTTGAGCGTAATTTGCTAACAACAATACTAACGAACATTGGCGACAAGAATCTAAATGTTATGTATGTACAAACTTTAGGGGGTTGTGTGTAATATTTTAAATATCAAGAGGTCTAAATGATTAAATGAAAAATATCAAGGAGTCTGAGTGTAATTCTCCTTAATAACTATTATATTAAAAAAATGGAGTTAACTAATTTTATTTAATATTTTATTATTGATTAGTAATATTACATATCAAGAATAACGTGATATAACTGTTACATCAAATATTATTTATGGTGCAACAAAGTGGATTAAGATACTATACAACACAAATAATTGAGTGTCAGTCGTGTAGTATAAACACTAGTAGGATTCCGTATAAATGCAAGATTAAGTGTCAAATACAAAATATATCTAATTATTCTCGCAATTTTAGTAAAACCCAAAAATATTGTGTGCATTGGGCGACCTATGAGATATGTGAGGATATAGACACAAAGTGTGAAATGTTTTATTGTCACCGTAAGATGAGAGTGCTAAAGTTGTCTACTAATAATATGAAGATATAAACATTTTATAGAGTTTAACATTTCAATAATTACTAAATATATTGTGGATATATTTAATTCGTAATTTGCACTACTAGATAACCATTAATGCAATTGAATTAACAAATAACATTGATCATACACAAATATTACAACCTTGAATGTCATGAAATAAATTATATCATTAAAGACTATGTTATACATGAATCAATTAATAATGATTTATGTGAAGATGACCATGAATATGGCATAGAATGTTTCGGAAGCAAGAATTGAACATAAAATAAATTCAATGTCTTTAAAATAACTTAAGTCAAAATTGCGAAATCCATAACAATCAAAATGATAATATGAATATTTAGCCAACAACCACAAAAGTAAGCACCGTGATGCTATGATAAAAATAAATTGGGTAAATTAAATTCACAACTCATGACATTTGACTTTATTATACAGACACCCCTTCACATTTTAAATATTATACTGAAACCCCTTGACATTTGAACACGTGTTATAGCCGCACCCCCTTTTGTCTAACAAACGTTAAAAATTTCCTTAAAAAGACTTTTTGACCCTTGTCATTGAGATTAACCAATGCCCAAATTCAATCTATCAAACTCACCTCTCTATTTGATTAAGTCAAAATAAATAAATTAAAAAAAATCCAAACCTCCACACCACTCAAAAACCTCAGCCCCAACCCTAACTCTAATCATATTTTCCTCAATCCCCTTCACCACCCCCACACAAATCAAACCTAACACATAATGTAACATGTTTGGCGGTTGTGGGCAGTAGACGCCGATGGAAAGTGGTGGTGGTGGCGGTGGTGTTAAGACATAACTTTAGCAAGGTAAATTTGGTATAATCATTGAAATTTGATAAAAATTGTTGTTAATTCAAAATAAATTAACGTTATTAGTTTAAGTGATAAGATTGAATTTGGTGATAAAATTATAAGGTTAAATTTTAATTAGGTGTTAAATTTGTTTAAGTGTTAAGTTTAATTTGAATTAACTGTTAAATTCATTTAATTAAGGTCTGATTTGTAATTTAGTTTACTTGAGTTTTTTTTTTCATCTCAAAATGGAGGGTATGATGGAATCCATTATTTTATGGAATTTGGGGTCTCAATGTAATTTTTGAAATGTGAAGGGGGTGTCCTTGTAATAAAACTAAATGTCCAGGGGTGTCACTGAAATTTACTCAAATAAATTTCACTGCCAAAATCAATAGCACCACCCAGATGAACGTGTAAGGCCTCCAAAGGAAATATTAATATAATTTGAAGTTTTCACCATTGACAAAAAAAATTAAAATTCATTTTTCCTTCCTCCACAACAAAACCAAAAGAAAAAGATAAAGAGAAATAATTACCTAAAAATTATTATTCAACTAGTTGGATCTTAGGCTTCAACTGAACTCCCATGTTTTCCAGAACTTTAAAAACGTGTCCATTCTCAAGATAATATTAGTCACAAAATATTAGTGACCAATTGAAGTGAACGAGCGCTTGAAATGATTTAACAAGTAAAAATGGATGAATTCTGAATATAAGATAGTTTGTAAAATTCATTAGTCACGTTGTAAGGTGACTAATGAAATCATCCAGAAGACTTAGTAGTTAGTATCATAGAGAGCTAAAATTCTTGTTAAATCATAGGGTGATGACTCTGTTGTTTGCTTGAAAGTGTTGTGGTTGAGAATGTTTAGGAGACTGAAGTAGTGGGGGGACAGTTAATAAGAATAAAGGGTCAGATAATTTTTAAACAATTAATTAATAAAAATTCTGAAATAATTGAAATGAAGTTCGGAAGAAAGTGACCCTAAATAACTGTTTTAAACTATTTAATAATAAGCTAATTCAAAAATTGAAAGAAAGATTAGGAGAGGTGGAAGTTCAAACAAGTGTAGTGAGAACAAGGATAACTTTGTTGTTGTTGGAATGAGATATCTAATTAGAAAATTTAAACATTGTAGAATTATGAGATATCTAATTAGAAAATTTAAACATTGCAAAAAATAGAAACAGTTTAGTAATGTGGATATAATAATTAAAAACTGAAAATTCTAGAAAAATAGGACGGCTAGAATGGTGGTTTCTCCTTGTCTGTAGATACATCTCTTAGAAAAATAAAATAACATTTTATTTATTTATTTATTTTTTTATAATTACACAATTTAAAATAAATCTTGTCCCACCATTTAAAAGGTATGGAATGAGTGGAATTTTCAACTTTGAGAGGAATTTGACCTTGATTAGTGTAACCATATGGTGTTTGAAGATCGATAATTAGGACATAAGTTAGTGTATGAGTGCAATTAAGGGTTTGGAGTCTAGAGTGCGGGAGCATGAAATGATAGCTTCTGAGTATCTACGTTGATGACCTGGAGGTGAATAGGATGTTAGCTAGGTACAGGAACATGGTTGACGATGAAAAAAAGGGTTGGGATGCGCAATCAGGTGAGCTAAGGGTTAGCGTGTATTGGGTACTTAGAGGTGTGGGAGTTTCATTTACGTATCAAATTGGATTAATTTAGTTTTAATGCATGAATTTGTGTTTTAAAGTTTAGTGGGTTTTAGATTTCATGAAATGGGTATTTGAATTCGAAGGATTTTTGCTTAATTGGTTAATTGGGTTGTGTTTTAGGGAGTTCAAGTAGTTATTTGGTGGTAGTGGTGATGGAACGGTGGCGTGAGGGTTTGAAGAAGTTGAAAATTTGATTTTTAGAAAAAAATTGTTTTAAGCTTCGAACGGGAACTTGAGTCTAGGTAATTTGGACTCAAGGAATCAATTTTCGGCCTCAAAATTAGATTTAGAGGTCATTTAGGGGGGGGGGGGGTTGAAATAGGCATATGCAAGGCTGCCCTTGTGTTTAAAAAGTGAGTTTGGACCAACTTTGACCATAATTTTGATTGGGTTTAAGTGAGATTCGAGAACCGAGACTTATTGGATTTGAAACAAGGATATGTAGAGAGTTTGCAGGTTCTAAAAATGCGAAATTTGGTGTATTGTAGTAGCAGAACCATGGGGTCAATGTTGGGTGGTTGAACAGAATTTTGGGAACCTAGGGTTAAAGTTAAACATTCCAAGAAAGAAGATGAATAGTGTCTAAACTTTCTAATGGCGATTTGAGGTTTTTCGGGTGGTTTTTAGAGATCCAATCAATGCTATCCGATTTAATTTTTTATAAGGATTCCAAAAATGGTCACTATTTTGCTATCCGACACTCTAGACAAAATTGTTTAAAATGATCGTTTTACCCCTGAGTCTCAATTTGACCTAAGAATGGAATTTTTGAACCAAACAAATTTAAAAACACATTTAGGGAGCTAGTTTAATTTTATTCTTAAAATATTACTAAAGATGATTATTTTTCTATTTTTGGCAATTTCAGATCGACATGCGGATCGAAATAGAATTTCTCAATTCCGAAACAAGCGATACTTTTCAAACTTGTTTCTAAATTATTCCATATGTTATTTATGATTATTTTATATCTTTTGAAATATATGATTGAGTGTTTTGAATATTAACTTGGAATTCGAAATCGGATTAAGGATTTTGAGTATGGTTCGCACAAATGGCCACAATGATCATATTGCTTTTATTGTTCATATTGAATGAAACTCTGAGATCCTTTTGGAATTAAATATAAGTGCGCAACGGTCGAGTGACAGAGGGTTTATGTTTCAGTTTGAGGTCTTAGAGGGTTTTTCATTGAGTTTTTAAATGCCTAAGTGGCCCTATTGGTCTTTGGACTTGGGTACTGAATTGTTACTAGGGAGCATATCTTTCGTGGGGTAAAAATCCCCCAAAATGTTGGATTGTATGTTCGTATTGACCCTGAATAGTATATTAGGATGATCGTCCACTAGTGCAACACTATATTAATGTTATGATCGTATTATTGTTTTCAACTTAAATGCTTTCGTTCAATGTTTTCTGCTCTGTTATTTATATATAAAATGAACCTTTGATATTGTCCAATCATGTCAAATTGTGGTATTTTCAAACTTGTTTATTTAGAAATTGAGTTATTCTACTGAGCTATTGATACTCACTCTACATTATTTCTTCTTTTTCTGATTAGCAGGTGGTGGAAAAGTTCGTGAAAGTTTGAACTGCCAGTTTTCAGGACTTTTATTCTAAGGTTGAATAATGTTGTTGAGGCATATAAATTGTAGTGAGCATAATGTACTTGTGTAGATTGTAACAAGTCTACCACTGAGTCGTATTATAGATGTGAATGAAATGTTTATCTGTTGAACTTAATAGCAAACACATGATTAGTTTTTGGAAATGGTATCAAAGTTTACTCTTTATTTGGAGACTATATTATTTAGTAACTATGGAGACTATTAGCACTCTGAATATTTTGCTAAATGGGTCGGGGTGTTACAGTTTGGTATCAGAGTTTAACCATTGTTGGGAGATTGAATTGTTTATTTCTAATGGAGGCTATTAGAGGTTAGGGTTTTACAATTAGGTGAGACGATACAATGTAAAATTCAAACACCTAAAAAATTGATTTGATCCCACTATATCTAATTACATAATTTAAAATTAATTTTCTATCCATTATGTTTTAAAAAAATCGACAATTTGTTTTTCAAAATATATGACTCAACTAAATATCAATATGTGTTAGACTATATGAATAATGTCTGAAATAAAAATTGTATTGAGTCAAAAGTTAAATGATTTAACTTGTTTATAGAAATTAGTGATGTTATAGAAATAGGTAGTAAAAATATACGAGAGTAAGATTCAAACTCATAACTTCCTTGTTATATAGATTGGAGGGAATCTGACCTTAATTAGTGTGAAAAGATATGGGCTAAGTGAGATTTTTCAAGTTCGGGGAAAAAAATTTGGGGTAATGATTTTGAACCATCGGATTGAATAAATCTCAATAACTCTTATGTTAAATTAAGGAATTTTGAAGAATAAAATTTTTTTTAGATCTAAATATCACGTTTAATATTTTGACCAAAATCTATCATCTCAACTCAGGTTATTTATTACACTTGGCAGGCTGTGACACTACGTTGAATGACTTTATGCTTTTCGAAGGTTATGGTAAAATTTATGCAATCCTTTACTTTATTTGTATTACTTTTAGTTAGACACATTTTCATATTTTTAGATCTGAAATACCAAAAAATAAAATAAAATAGAAATCATGAGTAAAGATGGTTTCATAAACTACATTTGGGCCTGGTTTTTGCTAGGGTGAACCATCTCCGTTGCCCTGCTTTTATAGTCCAAACCATCCATCCTTTTTAAGGGCCCATGAAGCTAATTTCGACAAGGGTCTTTCGAAGGCCTATACACTTAATTAGACATATTACAGTTTAAATCCATCAAGAAAATTATTTTTGGAAAGAAGTCAACTAGTGAGAAAAAAGACTATACTAACCTTCAAAATAATACTCTAGTTGTCTAACCGGATTAAGAAATTCATAATTCCATCCCCTTTTATTCACGACAAAATAAATATTCCCATTAATCCACTCCATTATTTAATGTTAATCCATGACTATTGGGGATGTGTGTGTGGTTCCTTCTGAAGTTTTGTTTTAAGCATTTCAACCTTTTCTTGAACTGAAAATTATTCCAGAAGCTTACATAGTATTCTCGAATAAGTCGAGAGGAAATCCATTATGATTGTGGTCAGAGCAAAAATACCACGTCCATACCCAAAGAATAAAAAATTCAGTAGAGAAGTAAATTATGGTTTTATCCTCAATCTTATTCTCCTTTAAGTATGGAATTTTTTGCTTATAATGATTTAACAATTGTAATATTTGAGGTGGATATATCTCTTCCACAATACCATGGTTTCCCACCATAAGTAAAACTAGTTCGATATTCCTATTACGGAAGAAGCAAAATAGAAGTACCAAGTGTGTCTTAGTGCTAAATTTTGAAAATAAAAGGCATTATGCTATGCTTGGATATAATCAAAGTAATTATATTGACTATATGGATATTTAGTCAGTTTTCTTAACTTATAGCAAGATTTAATCTCCTTTTTTCAGACAATATCCATAGTAAATGATGATGCACAAATTGATTTTATGCACCACTTGTCAAGTAATAAATGCAATAAATAAATAAGGAGAGGCAACACAAGCAAAACACAATTTAAGTTGTTCGGTCAAGGTGACCTACTCCAGTACGAAGGACTATGATGACCTGAGTGTTTTATTGCTTCAAGGAATGTTGGGTGCTCAAGTGTGAATGATATGTGAGATACAAGATATGAGAGATGCCTCCTATGTGTAGGCGGGACTTATAATTTATAGGCACATCCTAACAGATTAAGACGCTTGATCAGTAACAAAAAAGTTGATTTGGTGGAGTGGGCGTCATCCTCATGACAGGTGAGGCAGTTGCTAAGAGGGCATGGAGATTTCAAGAATAGGTCCCAGGATGGCGTGGCAGACTTCCTCACACTAGGATGGTGTGGCGGACCTCCTGACTCCTTGACTTTAGGATGGTGTTGCTTTTGAGGCTTTGGTGAGCCTGACCAGATCTAAATCTCTTTTGGGTTGGACCCATTGGGACTTGTCTGGGCTAGGCCCACTATTTGAGTTAGCCTAATTTAGGCTAGGATCATTATCTGAGTTGGGTCTTAGGTCCGGCCTATCATTTTCCCCATGCCCCGAGCCCAATGATTTGGGGGAGAGGGCATTAGTTGGTCTAACTGCGGCTGAACTCTTTTCCTTAACGAGGAGATATATATATTATTTTTTTAGGCTTATTTTTTTCTTTTTGGTATGGATTATCCTCATGAGAACTTCTCAAGGTCAATCCTACTCTAACTAGGATAGCCAATCCAATTAGTTAACTGCCAAAGTGAATGAGAGCTCTTCAATGTCAATCCTACTCTAATTAGGATACTTGAATGTCAATCTTACCAGGTAATTCCCATGGTTGGGCAATAAATAGGTCCCTCCTTCTTTCCTTTTGCTCCATTCCTTGATAGGGCTAGACTGAAGAGTGATAGAGGGGAAAGGTGGTGTGAGTGAAGCAAACACAAGCAAGGTAGGTATAGGCGTAGCTTGCGTGGGCACAGCGGGGGCTGTCTGGGGTGCAAGAGCTGCCCGGGGGGCAGTCTTGGGCACTCAGGGTGTCGTGGTTGGTGTTGGCACATGGGTAGGTGCATGTACATGAATGGGCACAAGAGCTTGGGGCAGGTGGTAGGTGCTGCGACACAGGCATTCGGGCTATCTATTAGGAATGAGCTACACGAGGAGACAAGGTTAGACATGTGGCGAGAAATGATGATGGTAGTGCTCCTTCTCATCCACAAAGATGCAAGTATCGTGGTAAAGTGTCTACTGATGATTGCTCTAAGGTATACTCTATATGTAGCTTCTTTAACACTAATATTGAGATTGCTAGGATTATATCCACTTTTTGCATTCCTTCTGTGGTGTTGTGCTGTTGGGCTGAGATGGGCAAGCCAGCCTCTAATGATTCCTCAGGGGACATTGTTATTTATGAGGAGGTACTAAAGGCGAGCTTAAGGTGTCCCATACCTTCTCCCATTTGTCAGATTCTTCATTATTTTTCACTCATGCCGGGGTGTTTGTCGCCTAATGGTTGGAGAGTTTTGCTGGGATTTCTTGCACTATGGAGGAGGGTGCATTATGAGGATGTGTCCTCTGAAGAGTTTTCTACTGCTTATATTTTGAGTGAAACTCTTGCTCCCAATTGCGGCTGATATTACTTCACTTCGAGGGGAGGAAAATTAATTGTTGGGTTGTGATCTAATTGACATAGCTAGAAGGATCGCTTTCTATTTGTGGGAGGAGAGTGGGATTCAGAGGCAGATAGGGCTCTGGTACCAGTGAGGTGGGGCCTTCCAAAGAGGATAGGTACAACTTTTCTCCTTTTTTTTTTTGGTATTAACCACCCTTTTTCTAGGCTCCCCGGTGCTCTCAACAGATCAAGAGTAGAAGCTCCAGGTCGTGGGGGCCTGTCCCGCAAGGGACTATGAGACCCTCATACCTAGAGAAGGTGAGGCTAGGGACCCTCATTTTGGAGATGCTAGGAGAGGTGTGTCTTCTTCCAAGGCTAGTAGATCCTCAGTGAAGAGAAAATGTATGTTGGGTTCCTTCAGATCTCTCTCTTTTTTTTATTAGGGTAACATTTTACCCTTTTTTAGTGGATAGAACAGTGGTGGAGTCCCATTATTCCACTAAAAGTACTCCTCCACCCAAGATGATCAGGGTGGATGATGTTCAAGCAGACCTTTCTCAGATGACCATTCCAATGGCTCCTCCCCAGATAGCTTATTTAGTGATTCCTTTAGAGGTTCTTCTAGTTATTGCTCTAGTGGTGACTGCCCCTCCAAAGGCTCCTTAGGTGACTGCGCCTCCTGTTCTCCATACATCTAATTCTATGATAGGGACTTTTGCAGGGGTAGGCTCTTAGATGATGTACATGCTAGATGATGTGTGGATCATTAGGGAATGACTTAGGAGATTTGTGTTCTATGTAGAGATCAGGCAGGTTAGTGCTTGGGGTACCGAGGGCATTATTGACACCGTCCTAGAAGGCTTGGCTCAGGTAAGTGTCTGTTCTCTTCCTTGCCTTTGTGTCTCCTTTATGGTGCTGACGTTTCTTTATCTTTTTCAGGTTTTTACTGCTTCTGTATGCTTGTTGCAAGGGTTATTCAGTTTAGCTAGCTACACTCGATTGTCAATGAGGAGATGCTTGCTTATGAAGTTGTAAAGGGGGAGTTGTTGGCAGCTCATGAGAGGATTGCCAAGCTTGAGGTTAATGGTGAGGATTCCCAGGCAGAGCTTATGGCCACCCGTGAGAGGCTGCTCTTAGTAAGGCTGCCTGTTCAAGGCCGAGGTAGAACTTGTAGCGACCTTTGAGAGGGCTACTCTTAGTGAGGCTACCTACTCGAGGGTAGTGAAAGAGCTTGTGGCGACCCGTGAGAGGGTTGCACGTAATGAGGTTGCCTGCACGAGGGTAAATACAGAGCTTATGGTGACCCACGAGAGGGCCGCTAAGCTGGAGACTAATGACAAGGCTGTCCGCTTGAGAGCGGAGGCAAAGTTGGAGGTGGCTTGTGAGAGGGTTTTTCGAGCTGAGGCGGATCTGTGATTGGCCCATGAGAGGGCTACCAAGGTCGAGGCTGATTCAGAGGGAAGCTTCGCAGATGCCTTCATTGACGGCTATGAGGAGCTAAGGGGAAAAATTTTGACTGTCTTTCCTGATATTGACTTCTCAGGGTTTGTTTCATACAAGGTGCCACCGAGTGATGATAATGATGGCGATCATGGTGGCGATGACGATGGAGACTCTGATGGTAGAGCCGAGGACAACAAGGAGGATGGCGACAACAGTGAGAGTAGTTAGAGTACTGAGGAATTTTGATTTTTTTTAGTAGATAGAAAGTGTTAGACTATGCTCTAACTTTTGTAATAGTGAACTTTGTCTTTTAGAGTTTCATCTGAGATTTATTTGAAATAAAATGCAAGGCAACTTTTTGGAGTAAATTCAAAAATTTTTATTTAATGATTGCCCATAATAGGCAATGGTGGGCAATAATCCCAAAAAAGGTACAAGTCTTTTGACTAAAAGGAAAAAATAAAATCAAGTCCTTCAGCTTTATCACTTCTGCCCTCCTCGAGTGTTATTGATAATATCTCTTCAAATGTTCAATATTCCATAGATGAGGTAAGAGCTTTCCCTCAAAATTCTGGATTTTGTAGGTGCCCGACCTTATTATCTGTATCATAGTGTACGACCCTTCCTAGTTTAATCCGAGTTTTCACTCTTGTGAGTCTTTTGTGGTGAGTATTACTTTCTTGAGGACTAAATCTCCAAGTAATAAGGAGCGAGGCTTCACCCTCGAGTTATAGTATTTTGTCATGCGGCATTTGTATTCCATATTTCGGACCATGGCCATCTCTCTTTCCTCCTCTATCAAGTCTAGGTTGATGCGAAGGCCTTCTTCATTAGTGATGGGGTCGTGGTGTTGGACCCTTAGGGAATGTATCCAAATCTCTACAAGTATGACTGCTTCTATTCCAAAGGCAAGGGAAAATGGATTCTTGCTAGTGGGGACTCTTGGTGTTATTTGGTATGCCCACAACACCCCTGGGAGCTCGTCTACCCAAAGACCCTTGGCTCTTTCTAGCCTAGTCTTCAAATTGTGCAATATTGTCCTGATTGTGACCTCTGCATGTCCATTTGCTTGCAGGTGTGCTAGGCTAGAATAAGGCTGCATGATTTGGAGGTTGGCGTAGAGAGAGTTTAGGAGTTTGTTGTTGAACTGCTTGGCATTGTCGTTGACTATGGCATGGGGCACCCCAAAGCAGCAGATTAGGTTTTTTCAGATAAAGTCTTTAACCTTTACGTCTGTTATCTCGGCTAAGGGCTTAGCCTCCACCCACTTTGAGAAGTAGTCAACAACTACTACCACAAATTTACACTGTTCTTGGTTGATGGGTAGAGGGCCCAAGATGTCGATGTCCTCTTGTAGAAGGGCCAGGGACTTATGATGGCTGTCAATTCCTTTGGTGGCTGTCTAGGCACGGTGGCGAAGCGTTGACACTTGTCATATTTTCTAGTGAACTCTCGGGCATCCCTAACCATGTTAGGCTAGAAGTAGCCTTGTCTGATCGCCTTATGGACTAAGGAGCGTCCTCTAGAATAATTTCCACAAACCCCCTTATTAATTTCTCGCAAGGCGTAGTCAGCTTCCTTTAGAGAGAGGCAACATAGTAGTGGTAGAGAGTAACCCTTCTTGTACAGGATGTCCTATAGAATGGTGAACTTAGAGGCCCTCAATCTAAGCTTCTTGGCTTCCAATGGTTTATCTGGCAGTGTGCCCTCTTGTAGGTATGCCTTAATGAGGGTCATTTAGTTCAACTCAAAAGATGTGCAGTTGATGTTAGTGGTCTCTACACTTGGTCTACTTGGTTCAAATTGGTGACCAGTAAATGCCAGTCCTGGTGGGACTTCTAACAATGAGGCAAATCTGGCCAACACATCAACTACAACATTTTCATCCGATGGAACATGGTGGATTTGGAAATGGTGGAACTTGGTTAGTAGGGCTTGCACCAATATCAGGTACTCCTACAGCCTGACTTCCTTTGCTTCAAACTCCCCCCTCACTTGGTTGACTATCAACTGAGAATCACTGTAGGTGATGAGGCGTTGGGTTTCCATATCAACTTCCAACCTTAGGCTAGAGAGGAGGGCTTTGTATTCTACTTCATTATTGAAGGGTACAAAGTGAAGTGTAATGACATATTTGATTGGAGTGCCATCGAGGTTGATTAAATTAGGCCTACTCCAGTTCCGTCACTGGTTGAAGAGCCATCCACGTAAAGTTTCTAGGGAGATGACTCTGTAATGCAGGGAGGCGATAGGGGCGAGGAGGCAAATGGGGCCATGCCTGGAGAGGGGCCTCGAAGGCCGTAAAGGATAACAAGTGCATATTTTGCATATAATTTTACATATTTGATGGCCTCATTACATGCATTTTAACTTAACTTTGCATTTAATTACTTAGAGTTAGTCGAGTTTGTGAATAATGTTGAAATCTTGTGGTTGCAGGTAATTATAGCTTAAATGATGGATTTTAGAACCTTGCAACTAAATGTAGATGTGTGGTGAAGATATAAACACATTACTTGAGGATTTGGAGGCTTAAAAGTATCGGTGCTTGGCAGCATAGGCACTAGCACCCGCACCGTTTGGTTGTAGTATCTTAGCTTTTCTCCTTTTTGACCATGATCTACTTCGAATTTGAAGAAGTTTACAACATCAAAGTTGTAGATCTGGATGTTTTCTGTTTTGTGTCAAAATTTAAACTTAATTGAACGATTGGATCAAAAGTTATGATAATTCTATGAAAACTGGTCCAGAGTAGGCAACCTATAGAAAATACCTACTGGTAGTTTTTACTCCAGTAGCCAAAACCTACCGGTAGATCGCTAAAAACCTATCAGTAGGTTTTTTCCAAAATGCCCAGAACGCCTGCAACTCATGCTCGACTTGCTTGGGGTCCCACCATTGATTTTCCCACTTGTCCCTTGACATCCCTTACACATTTACATGCTTCCTACATCCTAGTGGAAGACTTTGGAGGTAATGGCATTAATGTGGATGGGAGACAAGGGGGCAGCCATAATGGGTGCAGGCTAAACTCTTCCTAGCTTGTCCAATGCATCAAATCACCCCCCATTGATGGGAGGCCTGCACACCCATGCTAGGGGGACCACCATGGACGAAAATGTAAGACTCCTTCACCATATATTCAGCATTCCACAAGTATTTTGAAGTGCGACTACCTAAG